CCGTGACAAACCAGCGCACGAGCACTTGGAGATCGGGCTCGGCCACACTTGGCGTCTGAAGCCGATGCAGCACCTTCATGTCAAGGATGTCATCGGCGTACTTGTCCATCGTGGCTTTCATTTCGGTCGGTGTGAGGTTGGTCGTGTGGGCCTTGACCTCGTCGAGCGACGCGGTGACCGAGGTCGCGAGTCGGTACGCGTTGCGCATGTGTCGCCCGGGGCCTTGGAGCAGTTGGACGTCGCGCTCGTTGCGGAGGAGACGCCACGACGTGGGCGCCGAGCAAAAATCGTGGTAGTGGTCCAAGAGGTCGTCACCCGCGGCGTGGCAATCACGCGTGATGGTTGCTGCCTGGACGAGAGGTAGTGGCACGTTCGTGGACTGCTGCAAGCTTGCAGCGGTGGTGTGGTACATGGCGTCTTGGGAAATACAGTCTCATCGAATCGCTCGAGAGTGGCTCGCCAGACCGTAGCACTTTTGGAGTATTTGATGTTGATTGACATTACACGACCGGAATGAAGACGGACGTTCGTCGCGACGTCACGCCTGTGCTCTGCCCGCCCAGGGTCGTCAGACCGTAGCGCTCCTGTCAAGTTACAGCTCCAGCTAGACGCGCCATGTGAAACTGGACATTGAGAGACGCCGCATTCGTCTCAGGTATCTTCAACGATGGTCTCCAAGAATCGATGATGTCCATGTAATATATTCTCACAGGAGGTGGTTTTTGGGTGGCGGAGCTTTGCTCGCACTTGGTCATTTGACGCCCCCTTTCCACCTGCCTTGCATGCTTTTGCGCTGCTAAGCTCGTGTTGTGTTCTCGCCTGGGTTGAGCCTTGCGCAGTGCTACTGCTAAGTCTCTTAGACATCCTTGGTCTCCCAGGAGCAAAGGAGCAAAGCAATTCAGCCTTTCGTTAGTTGGTGACATCGCCGCGTGCCACTTTGTCTGACCAGAGTTGACTCTTGGCGACCCCCCCTACGAGACGATTGCGCGCTGCCGCTCATGAAGCAGTGTACACGACCACACTACCGTATTGAAGGACCAGCTTCCACAGTACCCTAGGGGGTGATGGGTCGAGCGGTACGGTGTCGAGATGATACCGGTACGAAAATTTGGTGCCGACGTCGCCGACGCAAGATATGACCAGGATAAGAAGAATGGAGCAGTTCACATATGGATCTGGTTTCGTTACCAGAATGATTGCACGGATTCTGCGGACCTGGCGAGAGCACTCAGAGCTTCGCGCACCGTCCAGCGTCTACTTTGATAACGCACAGGAGGCTTTTCCAAGTGCGTACGACGGTTGATATAAGACAATATGTGCGGTCCACAGGGAATGATGGACGGTCCAAACCAAGCAATGAGTTGTACTTGCAACGGCGGAGGTCCCTCGAGGAATTAGAAGTGACATTGCGTGCAGCATTACCGGTACGTCGAGGCTCGATCGCCAGGTGGTACGCATTGCCATGCAGTCGAACGATGACGAGAGTCGTCGAACTCATCACGTTCCAGTCAATAATTACGACATGTTGAATTACATGCCGTAGTAATTTCGAAATGGTGCGGCATCAGATGCATACAGAACACTGGAAGAGGCTTTGTCGTGTGTGGGGATGAGAAAGTAGAGCGTCAAGCGTTCGCCACAATTCCGTCAAATGCATTCGTGTCCCTGGACGTCTATAGGGCTAGGGGGTTAGGGTAGATAGGGTCCATGGAGCGTCCTGTGATCGCAGCCCCACAACGCGCAACAGGACTTGCGAAATCGTTTAGCCAACTGTATAGATATAGATATATATTCGAGTGTACGCGGCGTTGCATCTTAGCAAAACGCATCCTTGCGGTAGCAAAGCCGGCTCTGACTTCGCTCCTGTCGAATCTGGGTTTGAGCCCGCAGCAGCCGCAAATTCCAGTCGTCGTCGATCTGCGTGCGCGGCTCGATCGCGACCCGGAGCTCATAGTCCAAAAGTGGCAAGCCACCACCCTGCTTGACGCTGGTCTCGTTAGAGGAGGGTCTGGAGATGCAGCTGCAATCCTGGGCATGCGAGGTTGGTGACACGTTTGTGACTTCGCGCCAGGAGCGAACTCGATGCGACGGCGTTGTATCCGAGCCTACTCCACAACGTCTTCTCTAAGTTACATGCTAGTATACTGAGATTCGTACCAGACGATCGGTCGGTGCTTTTGCGGGAAGCGAGGATGTTTTGGGACCGGCACTCGACGCACGTGCGATCGACATCACTTGGGGGCGCGCAGTGCGTACAAAACACCTATTAGTACACCACATGTGTGCATCCAATTCGAGTTGCGGCATCGAAATACACTGTACCTCGCCGCAGTTGCTGCAGTGCACGCGCCACCGAAGCGGGCCAAACTGGCGCGTGCAGTACTGGCAGTGCTTGCGCTCGTCTGCGCCACCGGTTCGCGACCCGCAGGTGCCGCCTTCGCCTTCGAGTCGCCGCGCGGCAAGAAAGTCCGGGATTTTCGCTACACTCCGCGCTCGACGCGCCATGAGAAACGGGTACAGCCACGACGGTGCCCAGCCCTTGACGTCGAACTCGAGGTGCAAAAATAGCACCAGAACACCTGGTCGACTCGGGTGCTCGACGTACAACAGCCCGAAATGGTACATCTGGCCTCGACGGTACCGCACCGTCGATAACAGGTCCGGACAGCTTGGCACCTTGACCGAGTGCTGGACAAGACCCCACGCACGCTGCCCGGACGGCAACGTCCATCGGTTTTGTAACTATGACGGTTTCATGTGAGCCGTCTACAGGCAAGACGACAATGGTATCGACAGCATACCTCGGCGACGCAAAAGTCCCGGTTGTGCAAAGGCAACGGACATTCCGTGACAAACCAGCGCACGAGCACTTGGAGATCGGGCTCGGCCACACTTGGCGTCTGAAGCCGATGCAGCACCTTCATGTCAAGGATGTCATCGGCGTACTTGTCCATCGTGGCTTTCATTTCGGTCGGTGTGAGGTTGGTCGTGTGGGCCTTGACCTCGTCGAGCGACGCGGTGACCGAGGTCGCGAGTCGGTACGCGTTGCGCATGTGTCGCCCGGGGCCTTGGAGCAGTTGGACGTCGCGCTCGTTGCGGAGGAGACGCCACGACGTGGGCGCCGAGCAAAAATCGTGGTAGTGGTCCAAGAGGTCGTCACCCGCGGCGTGGCAATCACGCGTGATGGTTGCTGCCTGAACGAGGGGCAATGTCGCCTTGTCGCTTGGAGAGGTCATGTGTGTCGCGGGCGGTAAACTGCAAAGTGCCACGCCACAAGGATGCCTCCGTGCGATACCACTGTCGATGGATAGCTCCAGATGGCATGGCGATGCGCATACTGGTAGCCAAATGAACGGTGTACATGCGTGCCAAGCACTCGACGCCAAAGAAAGCCGCTCCGTCTTCGCCCTGCTGCGCAGCAGATACGCAGGTGTGCACCCAAGACATGGCGCTGAGTCCGCTATGCTCAACACACGTGTCTCGGGTGCGCTTCAAGGTGGCAGCTCGTCCTTTGGCTGTAAAGATAACAGTGGTCGGCGCGCGTTGCTCACGGGCCGCCGATTGCTCGTGGGATATCTTTCGTAGGAATCTCGTCTCGCGATCAATTGAAATCTTACGGCACATAGACGACCCAACATCGTTGCACCGTGTTTACTGTATTACGCGGACACCCAACGAGCCGCGTTCTTGACCAAGCTGCACCTCCAACACTTGCTGCTGAACACTCAAGCATTGTGCCTCTTCCAAATGATGGCAGCCCTGCGTCACGACGCATGGCTACACGACAACCTTGTTCCGGTATGTGCCGTTTACACGCCATGTCTCCCGCTCGGCTAAGCCTCTCGGTGGCCGGCTCGTCGTAGCACCTTGGAATCGATAGTCCACCACCATATCCAGTTCAGTGTAAATTATATCTAAATAGTATCGAGCAAATACTCGGTTGATGCATCGTCGAATACTCAAATCCGGTATTCTATATTGAAGTCTAGTCCAGACGAGCAGCTACATTTGCACGAGAGGTATCTTTGGCGACACTAGCGACGTTCCACGAGAAGGTGTTTTGAAAGATATCTGTGCTGGGCTGCACAACTTCTACAGCCTACGTACCGTTGGAACTGCAACCTGCACACGGCACATACCGTCATCTGTTCCTTTAAAAGTTTAGCCAATGACGTGGCAAAGGCTGGGAAAACCACCAGAAAAACAACCTAGAGTCGGAAGTCTTGGCGTCGGCGATCTCAACGTTTGCAGTTCGATCTTGACATTTGCCATCAGCCCGTTCACAAGGACGCTGCTGTCAAAGCCGTGGCACATTTAATATCGAAATCGACGCACTTTAATACAGCCGCGACACAACAGGATCGAGTAACGGCGTGATGTCATTACATCGCAAGTGATCTCTCCACTGCATCCAGCGCGTGCTTTTATTTTATTAATATATATATATTCGGGCGTCTCTGCACTTTTGTCTAAACGGTGATGTCGATGAACGCTGCAAGTCGAGTGTGCTACAATCGCGTGCATAACTCATCGTAACAAATGAAACGGCAAGGGATACGAGTCCATCAAGCTGCACGGTCTGAAAAATGATGCTCGGCACACGAGAGAGACGCCCAACGGGGGTTGGATCTTCAAAAAAGATTCCGCATCCATGCAAGAGCGCGCCAGATCGCTCGGACGTATGGACAGCGCACCAAAAGATGGTCGTGCGTCTCACAGGCTTGCGCATCGCAGAGAGGGCAGTGGCGAGCATCGGGGCCGAGAAAAGTGCAAGCTGTACCGGACAGCTACGGCTTTCAACGCGACACGGTACACAAAGTCGCCGTACTGCAGATGAATGGGTGCGGGTGTGCGGGTTGCCGGTAAGGGACAAGCGCAGCCGCTCGGTACATATACACCTTGTCGGCCTCTCGCGAATGATGCGGAATGCACGCCGAATCTGGCGTACTACGATCAATGCAGAGAGCGCAGATATAGCGCGTGTTCTCAACCCTCCAACGCCGGGAGTCCGATTAACAAATAGAGCTAGCCACTAACGGTAGTAAATTACACCCGCCGCTCGGACGACGGGCGGAATTGCAAATTGAGCTGAAAATCGGCCAAGTCGATGTCATCGCCTTCGTCCCGGCGCTGAAAGCCCGTCGAGTCGTTGAGGTCGTTGTCGTACCACGAGTCTTCACTCATGTCGGACGCGCCTTGGATGTACGACTCGGGCTCCACCGAGGCTCCGTCCGCTTCTTCCCAGCCGACCGACAGCGTTGCGCAGAGCACATCGGCGGCCGCGGCCGGTCGGTACACACACGTGCTGTGGCGCGTTGGCGAGCTCCAGATGGGCGAGCCTACAAGTGCAATGTCGTCAACTATCAAGGTATCAAGCGAACGGCAATGTCGTACCGAGGACGACGGGCGTGCCGGTTTGCAGCTCTTGGGGCGGGCGCAGGCAAAGCACACTTGCTCCATATCCCGTGGCCGGCCCGGCACGCGCTGGTGCTCGGTGCACTTGTAGCAAAACACTTCACCGCAGCTCGAACAGTTGACTTTCCATCGCAGCGGGCTGAACTTTTGCGTGCACAGCTGGCAGTGCTTGCGCTTCTTGAGCGGGATCATTTTCTATGGCATGAAGATTCAGATTGAGAGTCCAAGAAAGACGTGGCAACATGTACCACTGCAGCGCGGTCCCGCCCCGAGCTCGCCGAAAGCTGCTGAAGGACGCGGTACTTTTCAATGTAGCTGCCGACGCGACCAAAGCTCGCGGCCCGGCGCTTCATCATCATTTTGAAAAACCACTGCGGCGTCGGGCCCTTAAAGTCGAGTTCGAGGCGCATGTGCATGTCCAGTCGCCCGGGTTCGTCCGACTCGATGTAGAGCACCCTAATCATCGCAAAATGAGTTTGCACAGACGCAATATTGTCCTATTGTACCCCGAGTTGAAGACGGACGCACGCACAAACTTGAGGCTCGGCTTGAAGTCCGGGCACGTCGGGAGGCGAATCGAGTGCTGGGACGCCGCCCAGACGCGCTTGCCCGACGGCAGTGTCCACTTGCGGTTCATCTAAGAGCCTCAATGAGCATTCTCAAACACCAACAATAATAAACTATACCTCGAGGACGCAAAAATCGCGATTGTGCAGCGGCCGCGGGCACTGCGTCGCAAACCAACGCACAAGAATGTGTTCGTTCGGGGCTTCGCTCACGTCGCTGCGCTCACTTGTCGACGACTCGTCGAGCGATAACGGTGAGCTCACATGGTGCAAGATGGTCATGTCCAAAATCCCTTCCAAGTAGTGTTCGAGGGCGTTCTGGATCTGGTCGTCCGAGACGTTGGAGAGAACGGCTTCGACTTCCTCGAGGGTGCCCTCCATCGATGTAATGAAGCGGTACGGGCGAATGTTGGACGCCGGCGTGTAGCGCGGGCCCTGGAAGATGTCGACGCCTTCGTGGCACCCCTTGGACTTCCAACCTGGCACTTCGATCGGGTGCACGTCGAGCGTCGACTTGAGGAACGACTGGAACGACTGGTGCGCAAGCTTCTGAAGGTACTCGCTCTCGTCGTCGCTGAGCGGTGGCGCGGCGAGAAAATGCGGTGGCAAGTCCTTGGAGAGGTCGTCGAGGAGGTGGCGCTTCACCATGCGACGAGATGCGTGGCCCACGACACAAATTGAAAATTGCGCTCAACGTTCAAGTTGGCTGCGACAACGGTCTTGGCAGATCCAGCCGTCGACGTGTAATGCCACCGCCACCGGCTGCGACGGCGGCGAGCATGTAAACAGTACACCTCGCACTTGCCATCGTCGCTTGCTGCAAATGGATGATTGGAGGGGCAAGGCCGCAGCGTTCAAGGGAACAGAAGCGAACGACGCGCGTCGTCGTGGCCAGCGCGTGAAATCATATTCTACAATGCTCTATTGCCGCAAAACCCATGTCGGTGGCGGGCCGCGCCGACCAACATGTGTTGTCACGCACCTCGGTGGGACCTCGGTAATGGTCTAGATGATTGCGCTGGATGGAAACACTGTCTCGCCTCGTGGCGGGAATCCGTGTGTAAAATGTGGAAATATCATTCATTTCACACGTGCAAACGAAACGGGCAGGCAGCTCACTCGTACTTTTGTTGTTGAAGTGGGTCTTGTTATCACTCGTACTTTTGTACTACATCAATACTCGATGCAATGACAGTCGGGCCTCTCAAAGTTGCCGATTGCGTTGTCTTCCTTGGAGAAAGCGTGCTGTTGCGAATCCGAACCAAGCCGTCGACCGTGCAACAATGACGAAGCCGCGTCGCAGCGACCAGGACGTCCGTATCGAGAAAGCGAGCTCTCCCAGCTGACCAAGTGGCGCCGTGTTGTTGCTTTGGGCACGACAAGTCGACAAGAACTGTCGACACGAAACGATGGCGTTTCGGCGACGCGCTACTCACACCGAACCCTGACTAATAGTGTTGAGACTGCACAACATAGCGACACAGTCCTCAGATATTTCTGGCCTCGGGGTGTCCAGCCACCCAAGACACAATGTCAAGGCACAATGTCATGCTGGCTTGAAGTCGCTTCTCGTGGGGCGTTGTCTGTTCTTCGTGCAGGGCACCATCGCAAAGCTCGATCCACGTATTTTTCACCTAGAATTTCACATGTAATTTACACATCGGAAACAAGTGAGAAAGGCAACGTGAAAAAGATCCGATGCGAGGACTCAAGCATGGATCGGGTACGAGGCCCAAGCGGGTGCAGACCTAGCCGTGCATCCAGGTCGCCGTGCATGCGAAGAGGAATGCGCGTGTTGCAAGCAGCACGAGCCGCCTCGCCAGAGCCAGGCCGACGCCCCCTTGATCGACTCGACGATACAGTCACAGAGTATTTTTCAAAAGTTCCGTGATTTCGGAACATATTTACAAAAGTTCCGTGATTTTGGCCAATATTTACAAGAGTTCCGTGATGACTCTGATTGGCTAAAAATACTAAAAATGGGGCGATCTGATTGGTCAGTGGGAACAATTTCCAAAAGAGGCCGCTCGGCCAAAAACCACCGAAATAGTGTGAGAACCCAAGAAAGACCTATATAGCCTGACCGACAATGGTAGAAAATAGTGTAAGACACGTCATGGGATCACGAAACCGAGTGACACCGCCGTTTCCTTCATGTAGCCAAGATGTGAATGTGGACCATGTATTAATACTCGCTGAGCGTCACAATAACAATAAAGCTGCACTTCGCTCTATTGCGTCGAGTTTAAAATGGATTGGAGACGTCTCCTCCACCTCTCCTTCGATGGCGTTTTACGGACTCTGTGCGTAGCCCGGCGTCACCCACTCCACCTCGTGCCGTCGGGTCGCAGCCGTTTGCATGACCTCGGCCATCATCAAGAACAAAGAAGCAAACGGAAGGTTGAAGCGAAGGCCGTTGTGTATATCTAGCGAGAGAGAGAGTCAGTGATCCGTCAAGGAGATGGTCTTGTACTTTTCGCATTGTCGGACTCCACAAAATTGGAGCTTCTAACGCCGAAAAGCCACGGAATGTCTGAGTATGATTGGTCGCTCTACACGTAATCGAGAAATGGTTCAGAGTCTGGGTCAGAGTCCACTACGGGTAGCACGCAGGAGTATCTTACCGTAGATTCCGAGGACGACAATACAGCTTGCCGTACACGAGACGCGAAAGCCGCATTCGACACAGCGCCACCTCCTTCCCCCTACATCGGTTGCTGTAGACATCAATTTGTGGGTGCATATCTTACTTGAACGGTGCTCGCGATAGCCTTGTCGGGTGCTTTGCGCGAATGATGCACCAGCTGCTGTACTGGCACCATACGCGCAGCCTGCCGCACATTCGCCTTGGGCATCCGCGTGCGCATGTCCGAGAGTTCAAGCTGCACCTCTACATAGCACATGACGACCATATTGCATCCGCGATGTTGCGAAGGGTAGCGAACCTGTGATGCTATACGCGCCTATCGCATCACCCTTGGTGACCTTGTAGGCAACGACGCGCCATGTACAAGGTGTCGAACTGTTGCAGATGTAAGCGACGTTGTCGCCGTGGGTCTTCAATATGCCGATGGTCACGCCTACGTAGTGTGTTGTATTAGAACAGAGCGACTTGCATAGGACGCGTTGTGGTGTAGTACACTACTAGTACCTCGCTTGGCGAACGTTAATCGAGAAATGCTGGTTGATAAGCGCCCAGTCGTCCACGTAGCTTGTCACTTGCTTGCGCCCACTGTAGAAGGTAATCCCACTTCGGGCAGACCGTAGTACAGCTCGCCGCTGGGGATCCCGGTGCTCATCCCCAGTCGGTTTCGTGATCCCATGACGTGTCTTACACTATTTTCTACCATTGTCGGTCAGGCTATATAGGTCTTTCTTGGGTTCTCACACTATTTCGGTGGTTTTTGGCCGAGCGGCCTCTTTTGGAAATTGTTCCCACTGACCAATCAGATCGCCCCATTTTTAGTATTTTTAGCCAATCAGAGTCATCACGGAACTCTTGTAAATATTGGCCAAAATCACGGAACTTTTGAAAAATACTCACAGTCACAGTCCTCTCTGTATATGTTGATTTTGCCACGAACGGTGTGTAGGTATCTCTGAGACGAACCGCCGCACATTTTACGACGACACGAAGCAAGAGCTTTCCATCCTGGTCGCTTTAAAGCGGTGTCGTACCAAGCGACACGACGCCCTTGTGTCCAATGACGTGAAAAAAGCAACGAGGCTGAGGCTCCGTGCTGCTCAATTAGCGCTTGCCCGGATGGTATTTCAGCGAGCCATCACGCTGACGCTAGACACCCGCATGCAAACTTGAACCGGGAAGATTGCCGCGCGTGCAATTCGTTGAAGGTAGCTTCGTGGCCATCCACTGCCCCGACGTACCAGTAGTACATCGTCATGCGTGGGACGCGGCGCTCAAAGGCGCCACGATGGCGGCAGTATAATCGTGCTAGACTGGGTGCATTGGCATTGATGCTGCTACATCGCTCAAGCTGTACGGTGCCGAAATGGCACGGCAGGGGGACTGCGTACTTGGACACCTGTGTATGCGCAAGTGGTCGCGAGGTGACAGGCGCCATCTCTGGCTGCCGTACCACTGTTGTCGAAACGAGAGGCCAAGGACTTGAAATCCGGGCCTTTGAGAGACGCACACAAGCAAGCCCAGCTCCACCACACACAAAATTATAAGCAGCAGCCATGAGGACGTTTTGTTTCCATGAAGTTTGGTTCATACACTTGACGGGACGTTGTTGGACTTTCCGGCTACCTCTACTCGACGCCCAAGACGGCGTCCAGCATGCACCAAGCCGCGTTCCGCTACCTCTGGCCCGTGCTCCGCGCCTGCGTCTGGTTCAACGTCTGGCGAGTCCGGAACGACCGCGTCTTCCGCGCCGACCTGCCGCTGCCAAGTCCATGGACGATTGCCGTCAAGGCGGCCCGTGTCGCTCAACTGCACGTGCACCACAGCCTCGTACAACAGCCCGAGCAGCCTGCTCTTCGTCGTCTTCTCCAGCTCCTCGCCCAACACGAGTGGCCGCGACGTCACCTCGTCCCGCGGATCGCGCTCCTGCCTCCGCCTGCCTAAATCAAGTCCCTCAACCGAGTACACACAACGAAGAAAGTCCGACAATTTTATTTAGCATAGTTTTATCTATTGTAATAGACGACCCACTTCAACAACAACGTTGTTGGACTTGAGATAGGACATCTTCTCTGTCGCCTTAACACACGATGCCGGACAGCATGCATCCCTGGCATGCACCTACAAGCGCCGTCAAGACAGGAGACGCGGATGGCCGCTGGGTCGCGTATATGCGTGCTTGCAGCGTGATGTGGCGATCGTCGAGGCACGATTCGGTCGACACGAGAAAAGCTCACCCCGTCACCTCCTTTTAGCGTTGTCGCGGTAGCATCTCGTTCCTCCATATCACCACAGTTAGCAGTATCGTGCATCTCGCCTGGTCGGGCTGTCGACTCACCACTGGCGCCAGGGACGCGAAAGATCCTCCCACATGCACTGCACCACCTCCATCCCATACTACTACTACGTACGTAGTACATCAGCTCTATATATCACAAAAGGTGTTTACACGACGCGCCCGGTTAATTGTCATCAAGTAGGTGTCCACTCTTACCGTAGTACTCGACAATTGGACAGAAAAATAGTCAAATAACCACGTAGTACGATTTGCACGAGGCCCGCGCGCGGTGGTGTAAACCAGGGTGTAAACCGTGTTTTTGGTTGGCTCGCTTGATGGTGCAAGATACCCAACACCACGGGGGCGCGTTCCGTCGCTCTGATGGTCCTGCGCCCGTGCGCAGCTACACGCGTTCGACAGGTTGTATGTAGCACGACCCCAGCGACGCCCTGTGGTTTTCATGACGCAGGAGCCATCATGTACAACTTGTACACACCAACGGTATCGATCGATATGACGTTCATTCGCGCTCATCCTCACAGCTGTACTGGCAGTAAGCTCAACGGTATACCGTGTGAAAATCAGTGCACCAACGCTTCGATCGTGTTGGTGGCGTAAATAAAGTAGTCCTAGTCTATCCTAACCCTAGTGGTCTGACATGGCTCGTTAGCATGCAAGCGGCCGTGCGTCGTCGTGCTTGGCGAACGACGAGAGCGCCATCGTGAGCGTCTCGTGCACATACTGGTGGCGTTCGAGCGCCATGAGCCGCTGCCGGTCGTCCGGTGACGTCGTCAAGACGGACGGCAGCACGTTGAGTTCAAAGCCCAACAAGTTTTGGTCGTCGTCGTCGTCGTCGTCGTCGCACCAGCAGCCGCCCTCTTCGTCCGTCATGTACGACGTGTCGCACGAGTGCATGCTCGTGTCGGGCCGTGCGAGCGAGATCGGCCGCAGATCGTAGTGCACTTCGTGGTACTTATCGCTGCTCTCGATCATTTGGTTGGACGCGACCACAAGCGTCGTGCAGAGCGCGGTCGACGCTGCCGGCTGGTACTTGATCTTGGCCGGCGACTTGTGGTGCTGCTTGTTGCTCTCATCGAGGAGCGCCCAGTCGTCGTCGTCGTCGTCGTCGATCGTATGGAACTCGCCCGACTTGAGCATCGGCCGCCGGCCTTTCCGCGACGTGGTCGCGTCCGGCTCGGCGCACTCGAAACACATGCGCTGCGGCTCGCGCATGCGCCCCTTGATGCGAATGCCCTGCGTGCACTTCCAGCAAAACACTTCGCCGCACGCGCAGCAGTTGGCTTTCCACCGCAGCGGGCTGAACTTGCGCGTGCAGAGCTGGCAGTGCTTGCGATCGCTCAATGGCACGAGCGGCACAAGGAGCGACGAGCGCGCCTTGATCGCCGGCGCCTCGTTGATCCACTGGCTGAGCTTGATAAGGCTCGACGCGCGGTGCTTCATGATGGTCTTGTAGATCCACGCAGGCGCGACGCCCTTGAAGTCGAGCTCGACGCGCCCATGGACTTCGAGACGACCCGGGGTGTCGGTCTCGAGGAAGAGGTACCCCGAGTTGTACAGCGAGCCGCGAATGAGCTTGAGACTCGGCTTGAGCTCCGGGCACGTCGGAAGGCGGATCGAGTGCTGGGACACGGCCCACGCCCGGCGCCCGGACGCGAGGGCCCACTGGCGCTGCACTTCGAGGACGCAAAAGTCGCGGTTGTTGAGCGGCGTCGGGCACTCGGCGACGAACCAGCGCACGACTGCATGCATCCCGGGCTCCTTGGTCGTCGGCGACACGATGCGGTGGAGGATCGCCATGTCGACGAGGTCGCTCGTGTAGTGCTCGAGCGACGCCTGCATCTGGTCGTCGGTGAGGTTGGCCATCGCGTCCTGCACCTGGTCGATGGTCGCCGCCATGGACGTGACAAAGCGGTGCGGGCGGACGCGCGGCTCGTTCGGAAGGGCCGGGCCCTGGAAGATCTGGACGCCGTGGTGGTCGCCGCGGAAGCTCCAGCCAGGCTCTTGCATCGGGTGCGTTCCGTACGTGGACGAGAGAAACGTGTTGAAGGTGCGGTGGGAGAGGTCGTTGAGGTAACTCAGCTCGGCCTGCGAGAGCGACGGCGCCTCGACAAAGCCGGGTGGGAGCTCGTCCAAGAGACCGCTTGTCGGCTTGCGACTCACGGGCGCCATCTTGTGAAATCTATAATGTGCGAGATGATTTGTGGTGGCGCCAGCTTCACAAAGACGCGATCGTTCAAGAAAACCACCATCTCACACGCGTGGAACCCAATCAAAACCCGCGCCATAGATACGCTACCGGCAAGGGCAAAATGCCAATATTGCAACCCATTGCTCGGCGGGGAGACATGTCCAGACCAACCCATGGTGCCAGACCGTTCTTGCCACGCCGCTTGACGCGTCCACGCCTCCTTGCACCACTGCGCTCTCTCCACCTCGAGCGCAGTACGTAGTATCCATACACTACCGGTCGACGTGTCGTGGCTCTACGGTAGTACTTCAAGCCCACGGCGACACGACCCAAGCGCTGACACCGTCTCCACGCCGCTTGGTACGCACCGCGCATCGTCTTCTTGTACCCATCGTAACCCTGCGTATTACATGTATTTTGGATCGAATCGTTCTCGAAATCCCTCTCGTTTGTTGCGCTTGGTGGTTGGTTGGGCGAAGCACCCGAGGCAATGTCCCAGCACGTGCAGCAAGTTCAACCAAGGACGTGCGGCGCGCCGTCTCGTCGTGCGTGCTCTGATTGGCTACGATGATGCATTGCCCTTGGGCGTATCTGTGTGTTTGTATATAGAATACAAACACCAAGTGCAGTCGAAATGCGCAGGATGTCCTGGAGAGGAGGGGCGACGCGAGACGGTGGCTGCGCAGGCAACAAGTCCGAGTTGCCATCCCTTGTGGCAAAAAAGCAGCGACCGATCGACGAGAAAGGTTACCGTCGAGCGGTCGACGGCGTTGACAGGACACCACCCGGATGGAGGCGCGATACATACTACCTCGTCTCCACGAACTTCCTATCCTCGTGTCGAAAATCCATCCACTTGGTGGGCGGTCGCTGGCGATATACTGGCGTATGCGCCGCCTTCCAGAGAGGGATCGGCGCCCATCATCGATCGAGTCGCGTGAGGATTGTCCCGCGTGCTGGGACAGCAGTGAGGCGGCCCGTGCAGCGCGATTTTCTTTACCACGCGGAAGAGGACCACGGTACAGTATCTGTATGACGCGATCCCCGCCGCTTTGGTATGGCACAATATGGAGATGAGAGGCCGGAACGTTGGGTTGCTTTTGCACGTATGGCCACCGACGCGTGGAACCGACACGGCCACCCAGTGGCGCCACTCGTGCGACACGACAAGCGTCGTCGCGCCAGAACCCCAACTGCATGCGTTGATCAATGGATCCATCCAACCTCATCGACGCATACAACAGCTCTACTACCTACAGTAATACCGGAAATACCAGTAGCAGCACTCGTGGCGTTGGCCCCATAGACCCTCTTCAAAGGATCTTCAAACTGCCTTGGCTCGTTGCGTGATGATGGCAGCTTGCCCATCGGCGTCATGCGTCTTTTGGAGTGAGTCTGTCTTGGGTGGTGATGTTATGCGTCGCGGCGGAGGTGGGTCGTCGCACCGCCATGGCTTCCTCCAACGGCAAGCTGCCGTTGCTATGCACCTGATCACTGTCGTCGCTATAGACATACACTCGTCGTCGCATAGGCTTTCCTTCTCGGCACCCGATCGCTGCTTGAGGTGTGTGCTGCTTGGATCGTTGGCGCCAACGACCGCTTTTGAAACAAGTGTTGGACGTTGAGAGGTGCCACACGAGCCTTGGACGACGAGCGACCGACCTCTGCACTGCCATCGAACGACTTATTACATGACGGCGCCGTGTCGCCGAGTTGATCGCACATCGTGCTGCGCTCGCAACAAACATGTCGTCAATTGACCGATCTTTCGCGTCAAGTAGGTGGCGTTCGAGTGTTGCAGTATCGCGGTACCTATGCTGCGTGACTACGAACGTGCGTTGAGATACGTGGTGGCCTCGTCGTCGTCATCCACAGTCTCCCAGTACCATGCCAACACAGATCCTGTTGAGTTGGGATAGCAGGTAATATCGCGATGGGGTGCAGACTCGGCAGTAAAGATCGCGTGCCCTTATCTTACGATTCTAAAATCCTAAAGTCTTCGCCTGGGCCAAGCCTGGATGGCCAAGAAGGGCCGTGACAGCAAGTTGGCACTGCATTCTCCCATGCATAGCTACTCGACAGGCATCGCAGAACTGCGCTCGATGGAGCTGCCCGAGAACTTCAACTTGCCTTGCAAAACTTCAGAAATGATGCCAGTGCTTTGCCGAGGGTAGAGTGGGATGCTCGTCCACAGCACCGCCGCGCCAGGAAGGAAGAGCGTGCTTGGTACACTGCCACCCCTGGTCTCTTTGGACGCGCTCAAGCGATCGGAGTGAACTCCTCGGACGAGGTGCGCTGACGACCGAGTCGTGAGAGATCCAGCCATCGAACGACGGTACTGTATCATGGAATATGAATTTTCAGAGGTTTGCCGACAGTGGCGAGAAAGGGCAACTTCACAACTCATGCGATCGAGTCGGAAGCTCGAGCGGCCGGCGAGCTTCGCCGAGGCCAAGCCGCTGCAGGAGTCGGAGCGGCTCTTCCTTAAGACCATCGCAGCCGAAGCCTTTGAGCAGTTTCTCTCGTCGGCGATGGAGCGGTCGCCGGTCTGGTCGCTCCTCGGTGACTTCAACCACGTGACCGTCTACGAGGGCCCGGCGCTGCCGTCCGAAGACCGCATCGTGCCGTACCGCGGGTCGCTCTCGCTCAACGGATCGCTCGACGAGGTCCGCGCGATGCTGAGCAACCTCACGTCCGATCAAATGGCGTTTACGCAACAGCACCACAACGACGGCGTCTTGGACATGGCGATCCTCCACCACGTCGTCGAGCCGTCGCTCCGGGACCCGTTCCGGCACGTTGTCGTGCGCTGGCTCGTCCTCGAGTGCCCCAAGCCGCTGTCCCACCGCGACTTTTGCGTGCTCGAGGTACTTTCCATAATGCACCTCGCGTCCTCACCGGCCACGTAGACGCAAAAAGAGTGGCTCTTGCCCGGTGGGCGGCGGGCGTGGGCCATTGCGCAGCACTCGGTGACGTTGCCGACGTGTCCGGACCTCAAATCCAACCTCCTCGTGGTTCGCGGGTCCATGTACAACAGCGGGTTCGTCCTACCACGAGCTCCATGGTCGTCGCATGAAACACATCCTCTAGGCTCGTCTTTCTCGAAAGCGATGTGCCCGGCGTCCTCAACGTCCACTCGCACATGGAGATCAACCTCAAGGGCGCGATGCCGAGCTGGCTCTACAAGAGCATCCTCAAGCGCCACGTGTCCCGCATCGGCTACATTGCCTCGACGATCCACGAATTCCGGCTCGCCGAGTGCGTCCAGAGCTACTTTGTGGTCATGGTGCCTCTGCGCGATCGGACGCATTGCACGCAGTGTCTTAAGCGCTTTCACACGCTGCGACGCAAGTGGAATTGCCGGACGTGCGGGGAGGTTTTCTGTCACAAGTGCACGAGCAGCTTCGAGCCAAAAGGCCAAAAACCAAGCGCGACCAACGCGTCTGCTCGTTCTGCGCCAAGTTTATCCGCGAGCAGAGCACGAGTTCGATCCGGAAGAACGTCTTTAGCGACCTCTGCCTGCACATGTCCCCAGGTACGTTTGAGCGATGGATGATCGACATGTTTGATGACGATGTGGAGCAGGCTACCAAGGCTTGTCGCCGACCTACGACGACGAGTCGTCGATGCCACATCGACAACGGAAATTGCGCCTCTCGCAAGACGACATGCGCCGGCTCATGAAGGCCACCGACTCGGACCTGAGCATGCGCAGCTACTAGCACTTCTCGCGTCTCCATGTTGTCTCTGTAAAACACGACGCGTTAAAGTCGCGAGGTCGCTGCTCCAACGAGGAAGGAGGCTTCATACTAGCGGCCATGGTCCGCGATCTCAATGATGCAATGGCGACGCCGTCCCTCTAGGTGCTACAGCGCTACTTGCCAAATGATGTAGCTAAAGCGAGGCAGGCATAGGTAGATCGCCAAAGCAAGACGTGGACTTGGCACACGCTACCTGGCCTGCCAGGTCGTAAACGCTTGCTCGCGCCGTGGCGGCTGGTGGGCACCAGGCTGGTGGACTCGTAGGTCGGTGCGCTGAGGCTGGTCGGCTCGTAGGCTGGTCGGTTCGTAGGGTGGTCGGCTGGCGGCAGGACTGCTTCGTTGCCTGCGCCTTGCCGCTCCACAATCCGATGACACTTTTTTCGCTGAATTTTCATTTTTTAAATCAAAGATCGCTATCCGGATATTCGATCGAAGGACGCATATAGTGTGAAACAGGTCCTCCACGCACTTCGCAGCACGACGACAATCGCCATCGAGGGCACCCTGTGCTGTAGGTACACGAGATTTCACATGCAATTTTAGCCAGAGGTGCACGCATGTGCACTACGTGTGCACTCTACTGCATCGACCTCGACGCAATATCACACTATATCATAAAAATAATATAGTGTATGAAAAAGGCTGTCGATACAAACGTGCAGTCAACACGACCGGCGGCGTATCCGGACACGTTTCGAAGCATGCAAAATCGAACCTTCCCAGCACACCACGAAGGCGGCGGAGATGGAGGCGTCGCTCATGGCCAAGTCGGCGGGACCGTCCGCTAGCGGCGACCCGTACTACGTCTTCAAGGAGTAGGCGCCGAGCTGCAGCCAAGGCGGATGGCTCATGCGCGCCGTAGAGACCTCGAGAGCAAGGTCTCGTCGATCCATCAAAAGTACAAGCGCTGGAAGCACCTCCTTGACGCCCGCAACGCGTCGCCGACCAAGGACTTTGGCAAGCTCACCGACGGTACTGCACGCATACATGCATGGCACCGCTTGCTCATGCTGTGTAGAGCTGGCCAAGGAGCTGGCGACAGCCGAGCGGTCGCTGGGTTTTCTCGAGCAAAGCATCCGCGCGATCGAGGCCGACCGCACCAAGTACGCCCACATCGATCGCATCGAAGTGTCGAGTCGAAAGAGCTTTGTCTCGGACACGCGCCAGGTTCAACACGCTTGCATCAAGTGTTGCTCACGAGTGCGACATAGGACCTGATGATGATGACTGCGGCGCTGACCTCGGACGCGGCCAAAAACAAGGTTCGCCGCGACGAGCGCAAGGTGCAGAACGTTCTTGCACGTCTTCATTGAGGTTCAAGATGTATGTAGGCGCTCGCGCCATTGACGCCGGCGCCCATCGATCGCAACTCGATCCTCGCCGACGAAAAGCAACACCAACAGCAGATCATCAAGGAGCAGGATAAGGACCTCGACGAGCTCCATACGTCGGTCAGCCGGCTCGGCCAGGTCGCCGTCACGATCAACTCGGAGATCAAGTCACAGAACGAGTACGAGGCAGCGCTGGCCGGAAGGGTTGTACGATCATGGTGCCATGTAGCATGCTCAAGGACGTGGACGCCGACTTGGACGACACGACCGAGCGCATGAACTTTGTCATGGGCAAAATGAGTCGGCTCCTGAAAACCAAAGGTACAACGTCTCGTGATATTGAGATTGAGATTCATATCTGTGAGACTAGACACGTGCCAGCTCGGCGGCATCATCTTTCTCACGATCGTGCTCCTCATCATGGTCTTCCTCGTCATTTATACATAAATTCGTGTGCCTCTATCTTGGGTACTGTATCCCCATCCAGAGACCTCGCACCTCGTTGACCACCGCTTGTGTCATTTGCGTCTGCCTGAGAACCACCATGCGCGTTCATTTCGCAAGCCGCCCGATGATCAAACTGCCTCTTCTTCCGTACAGCTAATGACTGCAGCCATGCATCGCGAGTTGTTTGCAGCAACGAGGCGTGCGAACTCTAGGCATGCGATGCATCAACATTGAACACACGGGGTGTATAGAAACAAGATGACTATGTACTGTCGGTCACGCAGACTGTGTGTTGGCGTGTGGCGATGGCCACCGGCGTCCGTGGGCAACGGCTTGGTCGCACTGACGTAGCCGGAGGCTCTTCTTCCGGTCGAGCTTGCGCTGGTTGGCGTTGGCCCGAATGCGGTGCATGTGGCACAGGTTCAAGTACGTGCCGTCTGCTTTCTGCGCGCGCACGTGCCGGCACTTGCCCGTCGAGTAGCGGCAGAGGCGGCCGGTGGCGGCGTCGGCCGGCGTCGCCAGCGTGTCGTCCTGGCTGGCATAGACAACCGAGCGCGGTACCTTTCGCGGCGGCGGCGGGGCCGCTTCAAACTGCGCAATGAGCTGGCTGCGATTGAGCTGCGCTGCCGAGAGCTTGTGGCGGCGCGTCATGAGGTTGCGCCGGATCTGCGCGAGCGACGCCGCTCGGTTGGCTGCGGCCGGTGTCTCGGCGGTCGCGTCGCTGCGGTCATCGTAGTGGCGGCCCTGGCTAAAGCTCACGAGCACCATGGCGATCGTCGAGTCCATGCTAGCGAACCGGCGAACAAAAGAGTGGGCGACCGTCGCCCGTGCGAGGCTAAAGATAGACGCGCGATCTGAGTTTTCGGGCTGCAATTAATTGCGTTTTCACATCATTTCCGACATTCCAGAGCTCTGATTTCACACAACAAAACGATGTCGACGACAACACACAATACCGCTTCCCGTTTGTACGTACTGCGATGTGCTCGAGCATGTCGTCAATGCGTCGGCCGCGATCAACGGCGACGCATCCTGTAAAATAGCCGACCATCAATAAATTTGGTGATTGGTTACACCACGTACGTGTGATAATGTTGTATTCCAATACAACGGGTCGTAGAATCCTTGATACCGGTGCCATTTTTACGTCTCTGTCCATCCTGGATGCGCCTCGCAGCTCTTGCCACGAGCGCCACTCGCTGTCGACGTCAATGCCCATAGTAGTTCATCACATCTCACGTGCTAGCCTTCTGTGGCCGGCGCGAAGCGGCTCTTCTCTGCCTCCTCTTGCAAACGTGTTACTACTAAAGCGACTCGCAATCGTGATTTCAACACTGGTCCAGGGCAGAAGTTTTGAAGGTGCACGGGATGTACTGTTGTAAGTAGTACGGTAGCTAGCAGCTCGAAAACTATTTTTTCAGGGTACGAGGTGGTCAAACAAATTAAAGTAAAAAAAGAAACAAATGACTTCTCATAACACCAGCGTCCGCTCACACCGTCTTGGAATAGCAACGGTGGACGTTCATCAAGAGCCAGCAACTCAAAACTCAATTCGAGTTTCTGGCCGACATCCCGAGTCAACGGACGTGGTCACATACGATCATCAAAGTCATTTGTGATGTCAACTTTGAAAACAAAGTAGAACAGAACTGTACTGCAGTCACCACGATTCAACGCATGATCCGCGTCTACATCCTTGGCGCCAAGTACAAGCCGAACGAGAAGCACCACAGCCTTCTCGAGCAAGGGCTGCAATATGACAAATGGCTGGGCCTGGGTCTCCCACACGTCCAATCGCACATCCAAGCCCAACGCGTTCGACGCCTCCAACGAGTCTTCGACCCCAGACCGGCACCTTGGAAGACGCTGGTCCTCCAGACCTTTGATGACGTCATGCCGGGACTATTACGTCCGGGCACCGCTGACATTTTGTGGCACC